TCGTGGTGCCCCTGATAGACCAGTGGTGCCCTTGCTAGGCCTGTAGTGCCCCTGCTACCCCTGCGCCCTGAGAGGACTATGGTGCCCCTGAAAAGCCTGAAGTGCCTCTCGACAGGCCCGTGGTGCCCCTGGGCCCTGACAGGCCCAAGTTACCCCTGCGAGGTCGGTGGTGCTCCTGGCAGGCCTCTGGTGCCCCTGGCAGGTCTGTGGTGCCCCTGGCAGGCCTGTGTTGAATGGTGCCCCTACTAGGCCGCTGGTGCCCCTCACAGGCCTGCGGTGCCCCTGGAAGGACTGTTGTGCCCCTGCCCCTAGGGGTGCTCATGGGCCCAACAGGCCCGTTGTGCCCCTGACAGGCCTGTCGTGTATACTTGCTAGACCTGTGGTACCCCTGCTTCCTGGCAGGCCTGTGGTGCCCCTGGCGGGCCTGTGGTGCCCCTACAAGGCCGTAGGTGCCCCTGACAGGTTTGTGGTGTCCCTGGAAGGACTTTGGTGCCCCTGACAAGCCTGAAGTGTCAAGGACAGACCCTTTAGACGCCAGGGTCAAGTTCGTCGGACTGACAACGATTTGCTTGCCTGATAACGTTCCTGGTAAGTACTCACTACTCAGCGTCCACAACATATATACACATAGCACATTCATATATACCTGCTTACAATTGGTAAATGTGGTTGTGGCTAAGAGTTAAGATACTGACTAAAAATAAAAAATAAAAATAAAACTGAAAATGGGGGCACCACCAAAATGAAGTGAACGAAATCCGTTGAGTTTTTAATTTTGGGTATAGGTAGGTAGGGGCACCACTTCGATTCATGACCCTCCCCTTGGGGTTTTCCTGGATCCGCCCCTGCCGCGCACAGACTGGGAGAACTTCAGCCCCTGTAAGTTTTTTTTTTACAAACATGCGAACGAAAGTATTCAAACATGTTTGCCGTTTTCTGTTTTGCATGGTGTTTTTGATCCCTAGGAGGCAAAAGCTGCAGAAAACTATTGATGAGCATGTTGCTGGGTGCAACAAGTACGTACCTAAGAAGCCCGAGTCTTACCAGTATCGTCATGAGACTGTGACGTACCATTTATAATTGTAAAAATGTTTTTTTTTTATAGTTTTTGTTCTGGTGTCAAAAACGTTCCGTCTAGGAACTTTAATTCTGCCACATACCATGTCATGATAATTAATGGCATTCAATCTGGAAAATTTGAACGATGTATGTGAACGATGTTAGGTCACATATATAGTTAGGAAACGGGAGATGTTTAAAAAAGCAATGTTTTTTAACACCCTATATTCATAAATGATTGGTGAAAGGGCTGACTGAAATCATAAGACGTCACTGAAGGTCATCTTCTTTTTTTTTTGCAAATAATTCTTATGATCAAAGCAAACAACAAACTATATGGCTTCCTATAAAGCTTACTATAAAATATAGACGATGAGCCGGCCCGGGCGATCAGCATGCATTCCGCCAAAGAAGGAGACGGATCGCCTGCTTTCCAATAGTAGCGTCTCGTCAAGAGAAATGCAATCATAGTAAAACCATTATTTTCTGGCTACAAAACGTTATCAGTTAAAGGTAGTGTGCCAGCTTTCCTGGACCGTATGGAGTTAATGGCCCAGATAAGGAGAACCGGATTTTTAGAACTTATCCATACCTTCAAAACTCATGGAAACGTCTTAAATTCTTCAAATTATTGAGTACCCCAGTGCGAAATTCGCCCCGACGGGTTGTCGGTCGTACCCCAACCACATTTCACACCACTATGAACAATAAATGCACACACTGAAATCCTATTGGTGTCAATAGGATTTGGATCGGGGTTGGATCCTATTGGTGTCAAACATCATTCAACGCCGATAGGCAGAATCACCAGCCGTAATACCTACTGAAGACATTTGCTCAATGCTGAAGCGAAACGCAGTGCACAAACCCCGCTGTCAAAACACAAGCACCTCGTAGGAGATATCAATATGCTTCCAAGGTGGGCGAATGCACGAACGATAACTGAAATAACACCGGTTATATATTCACGTAGAGCAAGTTACTCTTTCTCTAACTAGGGAACTCGCTAAAACTAAGACTGACTAAATATTTACGCAGGATAACTGGCTCCGCCTCTTCGCCAACTTAAGGACCCGCCAATCCATGCACCTAGCCGCCAGCGCCGAGTGATGACGTCACTCGAACGGGCGACGGCCTGAATAGTTCCACACTTAGGAAACTCGCAGCCCGGGGCTGCCCGCGGGGATGCGGTAGACCGCGCCCAAAGCCGCGATCCCGGCTTGGGTCAGCGCACGCTGCCCCGACTCGGCTACCTCACGTTACCGGGGCCCTGGCTTTGGGCGCGGCTTCTGCTCATACTTTGTGGTGCGGTGGTGGTGCGTCGGGCCGCGCGCTCTGACTTCGGCCAAGAAAAATGCGTCAGCTGATCATTGTCATTTCTGCCACTTTCATGTGGTGAGATGGGGTCATAACTTTAGAGACGGCTGTTTCATATCAATTATTTTACATAAAATAATATTTCAAACCATAAATTAATGTTTGACATCCAAATTAAAGAAACAATACCAATACAGGCTTACAGTTTAAATTCGACATTGTGTTGTCTACGATTAGACAGCTGATAACTCATTCCCGTACGTCGTAACTCTATAATGACCTTTGCTTATTGTCACATGTGCGCCGCATTCGTGATTGTTGCCGACGCCTGTTTGCAGGTCAGCCCACTACAGTTGTTATACATATCGAAAAACCGATAAACTTTTAGGCGAAAAAAGCACTATTTTAGGCCCATTTTTGATTTTTTTTTTGCGATTTTAGGTAAAAACAGAAGCTTCTTATCCTAGGAAAAATAAAATGGGAAATCACTCGAAGGTGGCACACTACCTTTAAAGAAAAACAGCTAAATCAAGTTATCATAAGACTCAACGACTTCAGAAGGCTAAACCGTTGACCTAAGCTCAAAGAGGATGCCATACTTTGCAGAAAACTGTAGGAAGAAAGGACGATGAGCGCCCGGAGAGTTTCTTTCATCGGCTGATGGCCTTCGCTGAAGATGATCTCTTAAGATCTGATGGCGGCTTATCTCACTGGAGTGTAATGCCTCTGGCAGATTAAGACATGTCTCCCACCCTTGAGCACTGTGACTTTTCACTGACTGAGCCTCCTGTATTCACGCCTGCCGCCGCCGGTCCTGATCAAACAGCAGTACGACACGAGCTGTGCAGCCGCACTGTCGCATCACTTGATCGTTTTTACTGGTTCTCGATCAGCTGCTTATTCATACGCTTCTAACTCTGGTACCTACTTTGCGAGCTTCAGCGTCCTTTGCCGGGTGTCGTTTTCCGGCTGGATCTTAGCCGGTTAGTTATAAAATTTGAGATTAGGCAACCTCTGGTGACATCATTTTTCCATCACTGTGAAACAATGACATAAAAACTCTCGACTTTTAATAGAACTTACGAGTATGAGCTTTTGAATGTCTTTGACGCATTTCAAGGCATCACATATGGTCCCTTTTTATCAGGCTTGAAAGGAATGATGCCTGTTACCGTCCCTTGTAAATGCCCCCGTAGTTTTGTTCTTAATTTGTTCGTGCACGTGTGAAATGTGACTGATGCTTTTTTTAAAGTATAGTTTTGACGCTAGTCAGGAAATGAATTTGAATATTGGGTTACTTGTCAATATTTGAGTCTTATACTTAATTTTACTGATGGTTGAGATCTTTAGTCAACTAAGAAAAAAAAACTGGGAAAATGCGCCACTTCTTTCGAAGAGAGGTCTGTTTTTCCGATGACCCACACAAGTAATCTATAGGTCTGGGAGCGTAACAAGGGTCTGGGAGCATAACAAGTGTCTGACCGATCTGCGTAGTGCGTAGTGCGTGCATTGGCCTGATGCGTTTCCTAAGAGTGCAGAAGTACGGTTCTCAACAAAATATGGTGACGGCACCTGTCCGAGGCGTGCTGCCGCCTTCCGTGTACTGGCGCCACACGTGATTGGTGCCACCACTGTGTGCGCAGTTGCAGTTCCCGTGTTCCTTTCTTGTGCACTGTTGCAGTTCTCGACTGCCGGTGATGCTATTATGCATACTGTTGCAGTCTCCATTAATTGGGGTGAGCCTTATTAAATGTAGCGTTTTATTTAGATAGCTTCTTCGTATCGAAGAGTTGGATTTGGCTCTTTATTTGCATCTTCAGAATGCGCCAGACTAATATAATCATGAAACAATATTTTACTTAGTAGCTGCTTCCATGACCGTAAACTTAAGTTCTTTTTCCCTATCATCCTTCGCACAAGGACTATAATGTAAAAACACTTAATCACAACACATTTTTACAGTAATACGCTATTTTCACATATTTTTCACAATGCTTATATTTTCACACTGTGACACCTCGAAGCATACAACATCATATTAGTAAGGCGTACTTTAATCAAATAAGTTGATATTTATTTCGATTTATCTGGAGCACTTTTACTCTAAATCATCAAAGCCAAAAATGAGCTGGAGTGTGGTCCCTCGACCCCGGTTCCAGTTGGGCCCACCCCAGCGCAGTTACGGGAGCGTCAGTGTCGCTGCCGCCTGCCCCTCTCGGTGTGGCCGTTCAGGGTGACGGGCTCATTGGGGAGGTCGCATCAAAAACCGTCGACCGCCGCTACTTCTGGCCATAAACATTTTATGACTGATCAGATTGTGCGCGGGCGTCGTGCCGCGTGGCCCCGTGCCGGCGGCCGGCCGGCGCGCGCTGCGCACGACAAACGGACCTCGTTCGCCGCCGGAGATATGAAAGGCGTCACTATTGTCGCTCTGCAGCGTGCAGTGCCATCAATACTGAGTGTGCCGGCGGTGGTCGGGCCGTCCGGGCGGCGTCCCGCTGCTCGTGCCGCCAGTCGGAGCCGCGGGTAGTGCTGAGTGCAGCGGCGGCGCCGGGCCGGTTCTAGCCGGCCGGGCGCACCTCCAGTCGCCTCGCCTCGCCGTGAGCTGGCCTCCTCGCCGAGTCATTCCGGCGTGTGCCGCGAGCGGGCGAGGAGCGCAGCCGTGTGACTCAGAGTGAGAGCCGCGAGGGGCCGGGCCGTGCGGCGGCCAGCAGTGAACAGAGTGCGGTGACGAGCCAGCTGTGATCGGTGACACGCGGAGTGTCGGCGAACGGTGCGGTGACGGTCCAACGGTGACCAGCCGTGCGCGAGTGCGCGACTGAATCGCGAGCGTGAGCAGAGAACAAACCAAGCACGGATCCCGTACAGGTGGGTTACACCGAGGCTCAGTAAGCTTTGCTGGGCCCTAGGCGATAGTGGCTGCATTTGGAATAGTCCTGATTCATGGTGAATTCGGGCACACAGCTTACACGGGAGTGAAAAGATCATTTTAAAACTGTTACTTTGCACTTACATGCCTTTCCCTACGTTGAAGTTTCCCGGGAGTGGCTGCAGTATCTGTGATCAACACCCTCATCTCATTGAGCTAAGAGCTTTTCTGGTGACCTTTCCTGTCGACTTTTCCCGTTTTTACTTCCTCCGGCGGCCATGGGTGCAGCCTGCAAGTTCCATGGACAAAACGGCAAGCGCCATGAGCAGAGAAACACTGAAATGAGCATTACCTTATATCTTATTTTCACCAAATGTCGCCATTTCTATCTGAAGGGATGTTACGAAAGAAGCATGTCTCCTGTTGTGCCTCCTCTGATGCACAGCAACATCCCGGCTCCGTTGGACGCCTCGCGGCGTGGGGAGGCCGGCTGACCGTCCCGTGTTGGTCGGGGCGGGTCGGCCGACCGCGCCAGGTCGGCTCCGAGGCTGGCACGGTGTGCTCCGGCACAGAACGGCCAGTGTGCTCCGAGGCTGGCCGGGTGTGCTCCGGCACAGAACTGCCGGTGAGCTCACGAAGGGACCGGCCGGTGAGCTTGCCGAGAAGGTGAGGCTCGCCGCAGGTGCTCACAACCGTGCGGCGCTCACAAATACTGCACACAACCACCTGCCTGCAAACCAAAATTCGTGTGTCCATTGATATCGAACGCTAGGAGAGCGAAATATGGATACGAGTGTCGGGCACAGTACTGCGCAGTGTGCTGGTACTTACCTACTTGCACTGCGTTGTTTTGTTGTGAGCTCTAGATACACCCAGGTCTGTGAGCAGTGCCGTGCCGTGGTGTTGTTATTGCGCAGCGGCACCACAACGGCTCACAGCAGCTGTGCTCATCCTCTGTGCCGCTGTGCTGGTCCTCTGTGCCGCTGTGCTGGGCCTCTGTGCCGCTGTGCTGGGCCTCTGTGCCGCTGTGCTGGGCCTCTGTGCCGCTGTGCTGATCCTCGGTGCCGCTGTGCTGGGCCTCTGTGCCGCTGTGCTGGGCCTCTGTGTCGCTTTGCTGGGCCTCTGTGCCGCTATGCTGATCCTCGGTGCCGCTGTGCTGGTCCTCTGTGCCGCTGTGCTGGGCCTCTGTGCCGCTGTGCGATCCTCTGTGCCGCTGTGCTGCTCCAGTTTGGGCTGGCGGTGCGGCGCGCTGTCTGTTGAGCCGCCGTCACCGGGGCGTGAGAAGGCCCGCTCGGCGGTTCCCTCGACCCGGCCGAGTTCCGAGGGAACAGCTATCCGGGAGGGCACTGACTCAGCCGGCCGGGCGAGATGGGTCACCCGGCGGATGACCTTCACTAAACAGCGCGTCCCTGGGAATGAAAAAACACTGCTTCCGAACCCTGACGTGGACACTATGGTCCACGAACATCGGCTTTTTGTGTGACAAACTAATGGGGGCTTATCACCGAATCGCTAATCCGACTCGGCTGGCCCGGCGCACGGCGGTTCGGAGCGAGTCTCTGCAGCTCCGACCGGTCGCGGCCGACCGGGCTGTGCCGGCGCACCCCCGGCCGTCCCCGTGCCGTCTGCGCCCCGCTCCCCTCTCCCCCACGCACACCCACTCCGTCGCGCCTCCATCTGCGTCGCTAGCGACAGCGCGTCTCTGCGCCGTCGGCGGTTCCCAGGTGAATAAATTACCCGCACCGAAACTGGCCGGCCGGCCGAGCGGGCCATTTTTCAGCGCGTGGACGCCGGCCGGCCGTGGCGCCGCGCCGGGATGGTGGTTTTTGTCGTCCGCTCTCGGCGCTGACCGGCCGGCGGGAAGGCGGCCGTGCCGAGAGTGGGGTAGTCTGGGAGGACCGTGGTGGGGGTGGGGTATGTGGCCGAACTGTGCAGGGAGTGGAGGGGGAAGGGTACGTATAGGCAGGTTGGGGCGAGACGAGCCACGCGGACGGCGGGGTGGGGTGGGCGGGCTGAACGGGCTGGCAGTGAGCTCAGACACACCGGCCCCCACGGGAGCAGCAGCGGGCGCTGATCTGATGGCATGGGATGGAGACTGAGGACGGCGGCCGGCGGAGGATGGTTACGGTCAGAGGCTGCGGCTGTCAGAGGGCGGTCGCCGCTGCGGGCACCTGAGGAAACTCGCACCTGGGGGCAGCGCACGATAGCGGTAGCGGAGCAGTGGAGGCTACACTGCTGCAGGTAACGGAGTGTGACCGCGACTGTATGAGGCAGCGACCCTCGCACATCCAGAACCTGGCCCGCTCATCACCGACAACTGCAGGGAATCTGGCCTGATCGCGGCTCGGTGTTGATCTTTGAGCAACAATGGTGCTTTAGAGTGTTAGTGTCTGCACACAGACGTAGCGGATTCGGCATGCATGTTGGCGTCACTCTGCCGTCGTGCGGTGCATCCGTATAAGCTCAGCGCTGATGCTTGCAGCAGAATACAGACAGATGTCAGCTCAGCACCTGCACATACAAGGCGACATTCACTCCCACGGAGACGGACAGCCCGTCCGACTGTGGTGTCATGTTTTCCCATGACTGCTGTCAGCCTACCGGACATGTCCCCGAACCAGAATTAAAATCACGATTAACTGTTACCCGAGCTATAATTTCCTGCTACCCCAGTTATATTTCATTCTGCTCGGTTGAAGGCGGCTGCAAAGCGGGTTATCACTGTGTGCCATCAGCACTAATGCCCTGCATTTTGGACATGTTCAGGCAGCGGCCGCGCCTCCGCACTCGCCGGGATCCGGCCGGGCTCGGTGTCCGACACGGGTCCGCCCCGGGTCCCGCGGGACGACCACCCTGGACAGCGAGTCCCGCGGGACGGCCACCCTGGAGAGGGGGTCCCGCGGGACGGACACCCTGGACAGCGGGTCCCGCGGGAAGGCCACCCTGGACAGTGGGTCCCGCGGGACGGACACCCTGGACAGCGGGTCCCGCGGGACGGCCACCCTGGACAGTGGGCCCCGCGGGACGGCCACCCTGGACAGTGGGTCACGCGGGAAGGCCACCCTGGACAGTGGGTCCCGCGGGACGGCCACCCTGGACAGTGGGCCCCGCGGGACGGCCACCCTGGACAGTGGGTCCCGTGGGACGGCCACCCTGGACAGTGGGTCCCGCGGGACGGCCACCCTGGACAGTGGATCCCGCGGGACGGCCGCTGGACGGCGCGGCGGGCTGGGTCGGGAGCGCCGGCGGTGTGGCTTTGTCCGTCCCAGTGGGCCCGCCGAGCGAGGCTGCACGAGTGCCGGGACCACACCTGTGTCCTCGCGGGGCTTACACGGGTGCTGAAAAGGGGCCCCGCAGAGCTCGTTAGGAAGCCGCTGGGACACTGCACGGATGGGGTCCACAGAGATGATATCCTCCACACGCTGTCCCAGCGAGGCCGAGGGAGATCACCGAACCGGAGATGCCCGATGGTATTCGCAGCTTCCCCCTGAGCTACCGCAATGGATACATGGGTGGGGCGATAGACTCTTTTGGTGATCCCTACGAAACAGTAGACGCCTAATCTTCAAGATACATTTGGAAAAGCGACAAGAAATTTATTTATTTTCGGCTCCTCGTTGGGAGGTTTTGCAGCGCTAACTTGTACGTTCAATTAACATCTTATTTCATCTGGAATGGTCCAATTATCGCTAAGTATGGTCGGCAGCCGGTAGTAAATTATATGCACTCAATAATGGTGAGATGAGGTCTTCTCGGACACATCAAGGCGCCCTTGTTATTCGATCTGGCCGCCATCAGAGAGGCACTAAGTGTCGGTCAATGCCGACCGGTTCCTCGCAGCGCGCCTATCTGCGGCTGCCATCGGCCCCATACGCAGCACCTGCTGACAGCAGCCTCTCGGGGCTCTAGCCGAGCTCTCAGAGGAGGCTGAGAAGAAGGAGGAGGATGCTGAGTGATTTCCGGGAACGGCTGTAACAGCTCCGTCGGCCAGCGGCACCGACCCAGGGTGGCTGCACTGACTCGGACTGATCAGACTCGGACTGCAGCGCGTGCAGCCGAAAGGACTGGTCATCCAGATTCCGCGCTGATTTTCTGATGGCGGCGTGAAGAAAAGGACAGTTCCAGGAGAGGACATGACATTGCTTACTGTAAGATTGGAAAAACTTCCTTCAGTCACAATAGAGCTCATGAAAGCGGTTCAGCTGATCTACACTGGCCACCTTGTGGGCGGGACTCAGCGGTACCCCACGGCCGTATACTCACTCCACAATATCCTGTCGACAGGCCGCCCGATCCGAGATCGGTCCGAACAAACGAGCCCCAGTTGCCGCCGCAGCGAGCGGTCCGCGCACGATCTCTATCGGCGCGGTGACAATGCGACGGCCGGCGGGCGCTCCACTCCGGGTCGGTCGGCTCACCCCTCCCGGCAGCCGCCGCCGCCGCCGCCGCCGCCGCCCCCGCCCGGCCGACTGGGTGGTCCGGCCGCCCGCCGCCGGCCCTCGCCGCCAATCCGGCCGGTCACAATGGCCGTCCGAGGCGAGCGGCAGGTCGGCTCTCCTCTCCGAGCAGCGGCCCGTCGCCGTAAAAAGGCCCGTGTCCAAACGGGCGTGTCTCGACGACAGGGAGGTCAGGGAGTGGGGCGTCCCGTGGGGCCGCCGGCCGGCACCGGACTGTGGGCGGTACTGCGGGCACAGCACGGCTGGTGACCAGGCTGGTGACACGGCTGGTGACACAATTGGTGACACAGCTCAGTATGGTGAAACGGCCAGGCACCATCACTATTAATGGTAGCACCATCCTCAGATCAGTTAGGCTGTCTATATGCAGCGTGGGGACGTCCGATCAGGGACTTTCCTTGCCTGGTGACGTCCAGTTGGCAACTGTCATGGGCCGGTCGACGTCTGGTGACTGGTCAGGGCTGTCATAGTGTCATGGGCGGGGGACGCCGGATCTGGAGCTGTCGGTCGCCAGGGACGTCTGCTCAATGCTGGTCCATGGG